AGATCTCATGTTGTATTATAATCAACATAATGATGTCCTCCCTTCGATCATTTTCTCAAATTATTCGTCAACTAATATATATATATATATATATAATAACTTCAATAACTTTCGAAATATCATAATTTATCTTCGTTAGTTGACGAATAATTTGAGAAAATGATCGAAGGGAGGACATCATATATATATATATATATCTTTAACAGCCGTTTCAAGTAAAAATTTTAGTACCAATGAGATAGACTTGTAAGTCTTATATTTAAATACAATCTATAAAATATAAAAATTTAGAACAGTTTTTTTATAATTTTTTTTTATACAGATATATGAATATCTTTCAATTAATAATTAGCAAGAAATCCATGTATGTATATACGGTATACGATGCTTGAGAACTTATTAATAGAGACGACGTGTTAATAAATCATTATGCGTCGGTTAGACCGGATGACGCGATGAAAACTTAAGATTAATAACGAACTACCGTTAATTAATGATTATCAGATGTTGGTAATCATCTTTGTAATCTTGATACTTATTACTAGCGTGTAATCTATTTAAAATGCGTAAAAACTATTACAAGTACATGCAATGCAGCTTTTTGTGTATTAAATGTTGAAAGAATTAAAAAAAAAAAATTAGAAGGAACTCTATAAATTGTCAGTATACAAATTGCCTATATAACTTGTCAAATTATTTATATCTCGTATCAATATAACCTTTTTTGAATGTGTTCAACAATCGCACAAGACATGATAAAATCGCTAAAATTTTTTATTTTATCGCTCAACGGATTAGAATTTGACAGGTAAAGGATTAATCGTGAAAATTTCAAACTCATCTTTTTTTTTACAGAATAGCTTAAAATAACTTGCGCTATTATATGTATATGATATTATACAGTGATTTATTATTGGTGTTATGTAGAATTTATATTTATGAAGCCAGTCAAAACCGGTCGAACACCATGGAAATTGTCTTTTGGCGAAAGACTGATCGCAATTACTATCGATTGAAATCGTCATTAGAAATTTTGATTAATTACTCGATCAGTAACGTGAGACTTGAATCGCACTTATTCAATTACTGTCGCGCGGCTCGGATTTAAATTTCGATTCGTCGTTAAACTTTCCGTAAGCTCGCGGACTCGCGGAACTATCGTTAACGCGATGTTGAGCGTGATTTATCAACGGCTTTACGGAGGATTTACAACCCCGGACAGGACCGGTAATAGGAGCCAATCGGCTGAGCTTGTTAATCCTCTTACATCGTTTTACGCCGCTTCCGCGGAAGTGCGTTGGCGATGGTGTCCACGAGCTGCGATTCCTTCTCGCTTAATCGATTTTCACGCTTTAAACTGTGAGACATAACCGATAAAGATTTAATTTATAACACCACAGCCAGCGCGTACTCTCTCCGCGTCGCGTTTTTAAAAACCTGATGGCAACTCATAACACGATTAAAACTCGGAAAGATTTGCATGTTTGCATAATAAAGTTGCAATACAAGCTCTTCAGATATAAAGTCGTTGGATCTGGTCTACAAGAGCTTCGCACACAAATTCGTATAAAAAACTTCTTTTTTTTTTATTATTTACTTACAGCAGTTATAGATTATACTATACGAAATGTTTAGAAGAAAGAATTATATAGCGTATTTAGTGGTATTGCGAGAAGAAAGAAGCGGATAATTACTCGGCCATTAATTCACAAATTTAATTGAAGCGTTTTCCGCGGTCGCACGCCTTGATACGCACGTGCGTTGCGGCACGCGACGCGTCTGTACGCATACGCACTTACGTGACACGCGTATATACGTGCTGCAAGAATGCGTGTTTCTTTGTAAATCGGGATATGTATACATTGGTGTTCTGGGCATCGGCTCCGCGTTCTTTCGTGACCGTCGGACATTAATTATACGGGCCGTGCCTTTTTAATACGAATCTCGCCTTTGTGAAGGGGAAAAAAAGGCGAAGGAGGAGGAGGAGGACGACGACGACGACAGCAACGCACGAGACAAAAGCGCCCGTGTACCTGACGACGGAATTATTATTTTTCGCATCTACCCCATCTTGCTTCGTCGCCTTCGACCTATCCTCTGTTCCGCTTCGTCCGCCTTGATAGCGTATCTTTATCCGCAAATGCTCGTCAATTGCGTTCGGAGAAAACGTATATTCTCTTCTCCCTCTTTTCTTTTCCCCGCTCACTCTTT